TACATATGACTGGTTAAAACTGGCGATTAGTAAGATTTGCATAAAGAGGAAAAGGTGATCTTTGATCTCTAAAACAGCATCCATCCATTTGTTTAAGATAGAATGAGTGTATTACATGACAATGTTTCGTATTGCAATCAGTGTTTCGTAAATGTGCACTTGGTCTAATATATACGTGTGATACCTTACGCGTTGTCGTTGTAATGATGCATAAAATTGCTGCCGTTATTACCAGCTGTTCATTTAACAGCAACAGCAATGGTTCTGGCGCTCGGAAGCTTCATTACCCCTTCGATGGTTTAGCATGTCGTCATTAGCCCCCGCTCCCCCCCCCCCCCCCCCTCCCGTTCCCCTCAATGGGAATTTACTATTTTCGTACGCAACGTCAGGAGCAAATCGGAAAGCGGTCTGGAAACTACTCGGTAGTGTGAAAGAAACTAATATTTCGGAATGGAATTAGTATTTTTGATAATTAATTCATCAAATGCAGAAAAATACGAATCTCAGCAATTAACAACGAAAAGCAATGAAAAAAAGCATTCATCAGCGATGAAAAGATTCAAACTTATCAACAGGTTCATTCATTTGGTCATGAAAACGGAACATGCAATGAACTTTTGTTAGACCCAGGTGAACTAAGCATATTTAGAAAATAGGACAAAGAAAAGTGTTGCCATAAACGGACCGCGTTTAGATTTCCAAGTGAAATAACACCATCGCAATGGCGTTCACAACAACTGCACGAAATATTAGTTTGCCGACCCCCTAAACTACCCTTGAACGCTCCGGTTACCCACAGGGGGGGGGGGACTCTACCATCCTATAAGAACCAGTGATCTATAAGGAAAGCGATTGCTAATTTCGTCACCCCTCATTTTCGAATATCTTTTCCATGCATCACTTCACCCATCGTCGTCTATTCAATCCCATTCATTCATGTTGTTCAACTGCTGTCGATCATTGATCAAATGTTCGTCAAGTGACCTCAATCATTCGTATTTCACTTGCTAATCTCGTGCACTGCATATGCACATCACGTGAATCTCTTCTCATCCGTTAACGAACCAAAACAATGCCACCGCCCATTAAAGTCTCCCAGGCCTCGTAAGTGTTCAGTTTTTACCCACCTTTCAAATGTGTCACGGCTTTAACTCTCCACCGTTCATAGTAATCAGTCCGAGCATGCTCGTCTCGTTCGTTTCCTTTTTTTCAACATTTCAGAGCCACTAATTTCAGCCATATTTATCAAATGTTTTTGGTTCCCAGGAAAGTAATGCAAACAAGTACATGAGTTAGCCAAAAACTCTCTTTCCGTTTTAGAAAACGGTAGTTCCCCTGTTTCTGTGCGGCGTTAATTGCGTTAAAACGGTAATTCGAACTCAGTGCGAAGTTCTAATGGAAATTCAACCATTAAGTTTTCACCAATTCAAATGCGTGCTAGTGGTGGAATCACCATAAGCGACTATTTCAGTATTCTATTTATTCGACATGTTTCTGACGAATATCTTTTCGAAACTTTCAGTTTTCAGATCCTCATTCGCATAACAAAATGTTCTCCACTATACTATCGACGATGGAATGCGTCATACTGATTGCTTCTGTCATGCAAGCACTCCTCTCATTCATTAATCCGAAAATATCATCTGCAGTCACATTTGCAGTCGTTGTATTAATACCTTTAACAACTATTCTACCAATGCTCATCGTCAACAGTCAAACCAGTAGCAATGATACTTCTATTCAGTAACGACTGTTGTTATTCTTTTGCCATAAACGTACATTTACAGACAATGCTTTGGTATGTTTTCGATAATTTGTCATTTCTGATGTAAGTATCAATTTAAAGCACTTGCTTTTTTGCTTCAACTGCGACTGGACTTTATGCTTCCCATGCGAAAGTAAACAGCTGGGTTATTTTCGATTTTATGAGAATATTCTCATTTTGTGATATGCAGTACTGAAGTGTTGACTCAGGATAACGGTTGAATTCGAATTTTTTTGTTTCGTATTGTATGCGAATGAGTTGTGTAATTAGTGAGATATTCATGTGTTAGAAACGAAAAAGTAATAATAATATTTTTTTTTGCAGTTTATTCCACACACGTGCTCTCATTTAAGTGCTTCTGTTACTCGATACAAAAAGACTGACGAGGAATCGGGTCCCTCACATATTCAACCGTTTATCGATTATTCTACTTCAAACAACTCATTGCAATATGGCCCTTTCGTTTATTGATTTGATCTGTCATTTTGTTTTTTTTTCGTATTATTTGGATGAGCCTTCATTGAGCAACTTGTTATTGTATAACTTATGCCTTGCAACATTATTACATCGGTTCAGTGAACTGTACATCGTTGTGAATGCTCTTTCACATTCCACTCTTTATCTACTTGGCTCGAAATGGAAATGAGAGAAATTTTTATAATCATGAGCAATTCTATTCAATTTATTTTTCCTATTATAAACCTCAAAAATATCCCTTGAGAAATACTGTTGTTTTGTTATTCCACACAATATGTTGCTTGTGTTATCTGTCTTCAAATCGTATGAACTGGTTATTTTCAAGGCATATTAATGACTGTACTCGTGTACATGCCACTCATTTGAAAATAAATTGTAATATGAAGTTCCATAGTGATATATGTCGGTAGTAGACATGAATCATCCGAAAATTTATCACTCTGGTTTCGAATAAATTACATTAACATGGACATATAATTTTACTTGATTTTATGTTATTGCTATTCTTTAAAATGGTCCTTCTCACTTCATTGTATGACGCTGAATAGAAAGCTATACAAAGACCTGTTTTTAAAACCTGTTTTGTGGAACTCTGATGATACGCCGACAAAATGCTTGTATAGCACTTCGATTCTGGATCACGCCATTTATTTTATGGTAAGGAGAGGCACACTGCGTTTGTGAAAGCGTAAGATCGGATGATGTTTTTGTTTGCTTGATTGAAAGAATTCTGCACAGTGTTACTACGCTTAATACTGCAAACAAAATAATGTGATTGAATCAAATAATTTGAAAACGAGATTATTATCATTCCCATTATTATTACCTTCTGAGGTTAATTATCTATGAAACCTTCATAATAGCTGCATTAAAAGACCATCAATTATGCCTTGTCCAAACTCTCTGGTCCACGTGATCCTATCGCCAGGTGCATATTTTTACTTCTTATTGTTCCGTGTGGCCTTCATTTTGCTGATAGGAAACTTGAAAGCTGAGTGAATAAAAGTAAAATATTAAGTCTCAGTTGATAGATAAAGTGCAATAATAATGAGTAACATGAATCAATGAAACAGCTTGAAGAGCTTTTACGTCAGCTGGAGCACCATACTAAACGATAAATTATTCAGCATAGTCTTCATTCAAATTAATCTGTTTTTGTTCCTTGCTCGAAGAGCATCCCTACGTTCTGATCCATATTTTTATTTCCCGTACCTGGTGGGAGGCTACAGTTGAGCAACAACTTTGCTTATTACCAGCATTATCGAGTTGATGGCTCGGTATCAGGAATTTTCCGGGAAGGAATTTGAAGGAACGTATGATGCTGAACTGAGTGTGTGATTATTATTAAAATCGACAGAAACAAAACGTTTTCAGTTTATTTCGTAAAGAAGCGATTGAATTCGATTCATTTATTCATTATTCATCTGCGAATGCAGATTAAGATTGCATGAATTAAACTCAATTCATATCTCATACGTGTACGTTCTCAGGTCCAGCAATTGGTCGCTGCTCTGCTATTCAATTAAATCATCGTGTAGACTATGCAAAATATCAATATTTATGGTAAATAAAACAGAAATAAGATCGAAAAATATATGAGTAAACCGTTTCAATAGCTACTTCAGTGACAAAGTACAAATGTTCCCGACTTAAAAACGAGTTACTCACCAAGATTACATTCCTGATTTGAACGTTCTATGAGTCCAACACAGTAGGTTCATACGTATGTGTATATTGAAACTGCAGATCTCCTTCATGATTTTCATCCTATATTCCAGAATAAATTTTTGCTATAAACATTGATATACTGCATTTATTGCATTAGAACCTCGTTGATCCAGCTATACATTAATACTCTTCTATTTATCCATGACATTACGAGTAATCAAAATCCGAATATACGCTTTTGGGAAGCTTATTGTAACTGCATTTGCGGCCAATTTTTATTCATTTGAAACACAACCATATTAGCGAATAAGTTCTAGATGAAGAAAACTATCGTAAGAACAACAGAACAATGATAATGATGAGTGAAGATGGAAAATTAAACATTGTTACTGTAGACAACATTTTTGTCAGTATGCAATTAAAAGGCATCTTATCAGCATCGGAAGAGTTAACCCTCCCTCTCGAAAGCCATATTTTTGCAAAATTGTTTTCGGAAGAAAGTTTCGCGAATGTTCGAGTAATTATCATGCTTATGTACAAACATGATCATGATCCTTGAAAAATACATCAGCAAATGGAATAATGATAGGCTGAGAAGCAGTAAATTTTGTTGGCTAAATTTGAAAAATAAAACAAGAAATGAACAACAGAGGAATGAAAAATATGGAATTTTTTTTAGCAATGTTGAAAATGATTAAAAAACCGAAAGTAGAGATCAGTTGATTGAAACATTCAAAGAATGGTCACAGACATTCAAAAGTAAAAATAAATATTCTTAAATTGCTATCATTGCACGTACAGATGCGTGTTTCTTTTGTCATATCGCACATGTGAACGTTTTTCTCAATGACACATATCGATATTGATGTGGAATTTTCTGGGAATAAGAAAGGTTGTATCTGGTTGATAATTCATCTATTAGGGGTAGTTGATTGAACTGACATTGACGATCAGTGTGTTCGATACCGCAAGTGGTTATGGGTTTGTGCATCTCATCCATATCCTTTTGGTGCGATCAGTTTGTGTTTTAATCGCACTCTTATTGCATACAACACTTACATACAACCTTAAAAATATAATATTGTTGAAATTACGATTGAATAGGTGGCGCTTGGGCTGCAGAACGGAACGAAGAACGAATTGTGCGTCCGTTGATTGGTTGAACGGCTCGAATTGGTAGCATACCATGCTCAACCTCACTTTCGTATCCTTCTTTGCGTAATGTCCGTAATTTATCCAGCTTAAATCATCAAAAATCATCGTGAGATATTATACTTTGAAAGGAGGCAAACGACTAGAAATGACACCATCAGTCATCATCGTATTTCTTCCTGAATCGCTCGGTAACTCTTAGAATGCGTTCCTATACAACTATGCTGTAAGTCAAGATATTCGCACATCGTATCAGAGTCACCGCAGGCAGAAGTGTATTGTTTTGGTAGAAGGACAGAGTTTATCAACGATGCTTTCTGGATAGAATTGCAAGCGATCTATGCAAATGAATACTGCACAAAGGTTAGTGCTAAAAAACCTCCGCGCCTTGAATACTCACATTTGATAAACACTTATAATGCACAGATACACAACGCTTCAATCCATTCTACCGAGTAAACGCAATAAAAAATCGATGAACTAATTGTCACCGAACTTTTACGACACACTTTACACACTTCTGGTATCACCCCATCTAAGTTCCACTTTGCATAATCGATGCTATATTTCCCGATCTAGAGAAACCTCGAAATAACTGACAACTAAGACTGCAGCAAATTTATCCTTCTGTTATGGTTATGTCATGAGTTGTGATCATTTTGATTCAAAGTCACGATTGCTTGAATGACCATTTCAAAAATTCCCGACTGGCGTACGGCCTGTTCAAATATATTACAGCTGATGAATCTGGTATAAAAGTAAGGCGAATTCACAAGCCAAAAAAAGCGATAGAAATTCAGATTTCTCCCTTCAATCTAATAATTTTATTTGATGAGCAGAAAATGGAATGTGGATTAAAGCCTTGACTCAAAATTCGGTCATTGTTCAGACCCAAAAATTGTACAACAATCGTAGCTCTTTTTTTGACTACGTTGTCCTTTTACGAACCGTTGATTCTATCATAATTCTAGTTACACTGAATGAATTAAAAATGAATAGATAACATATTTATCTATTCGTGGATGTATATATAAGCGGAATTGTACCTGATGAGAGGATATTGATACGGTCGATCTATAAATAAGCCACTGAACTGTTTCGCGATAGGGAGCAATCGTTTCAGATCCTTCATACATCCAGAACTCTTTCATCTTTTCTGCAGAGATTGCTGACTCTTTGACAATGAGTAATTAAACTTTATAATCGAATAAACAGTTGAACGATAATTAATAAATGAATAATTGATCGCATGAAGTGAATAAGAAGGGATTGGTTATTGTCTCAAATGATAATTATAAGAATAATAATACTAACCTGGAGGTGGAAGAAGTTGACGTAATTCAACACGTTGTATAGCACATTCGCTACCTTTATAGATGATCTGAGTGATACCATCAATAATTGTTGATAATACTGGATTATCGTCATGCGATTCCTTTAATTCATTCTTGAATTATTTTTCACTGTCAATCGCCTTAAATTTCCTCTTCATTGCATCTTTACATAACTTTCATTTTGTTGCAGAGAGAGTGTGCAGGTCTTTATGTCGTTTTATTTGCTGTCTTTGTGAGTACATGATTCTTTGAAAAATTTGTGGAAAATACAGCAAAAATTAAGGTAACATTGAGAATGGAAGAAAAACGATCCAAAATTGATAGGAATTCATCCAATACCAAAAATACAACGACCGAAAAAAAGGAGTCAAATTCAATACAGTGATGATTAGTGGTTATTTAGATAGAGTAACTTGAATTTATAGTGATTTAGGTAAAATTGGTTTGAATGAAAGCAGCTGTTTTGTGTTGGGACGTAGATGTACTGCAGTTTTGATTGCGAACGGGTTCTGCTTATAAGTGCAATCTAATCTTATCGGATTAATTAGAAATGGTTCATCGACACGGAACAATACTTTTTAATTAAGTCTTATATTACTAGTAATTTTAGCTTATGAAATGATTGAACAAAAACATATTTTTGACAGGAAGATTTAAAAAACAATACGATTGAGATGACTGAACAGTGAAATATCGATTCGTGATTGATTTGATTTGCAACCAATTCACATGAAGTTTCCGAAAGTTTTCCAGCAAAGTTCTTAAGCTTCAAGATCAAACTCTTCAGCAATTTGTTTCAGTTTGCGACCATTTTCAACTAAATTTATGGAATTTTTCGTCTTTCTGTCGAGCATATATATGCGTACTAGAGGAAATATTTCCATCATTTCCAAATAGTCACACGTTTAGTGAACAGCATTTATGTCCTCTAGTGTTCTATGCAAAAAGATTGCGGTCATTGTTTGCCACTCAGCGCAGTGTATTTCCTAATTTTTATCGTCCTATTTAGGGCCTATTTTCGCGAGAAAGTCTGAAATTCCTCCCCTCACTCTGTCAATGTATAATATTACAGCTCAGCGATTATTAAGAAGGAAATCAGGAAACTGATCAAAGAAGTTACCGATAAGAAAGTCAGTGGTATCAAAAAAAAAAACACTCTTTCGTGATTAAAAAACATTTTGAAAACATTCCATAAATTTTGTTGAAAATGGTCGCAAACTGAAACAAACTGCTGAAGAGTTTGATCTTGAAGCTAGTCAATCAACATTGATTTGCCAACATCCTGAATTCCTGTTGACAATTCCAAATCCCCATCCAGGTGGAATTCTCCTCTTGGGAAAAACATTGCTCTACGCTCATAATGAAAATTTGAATTGCGTCGATTGAGACAAAAAATTGCTTTCCGCAATAATCACAATGATAAAACTTGTTCTGGTTTACAGTCAGCTCATGTTAAGAACAAATGCACTGTGGTCGTAAACCGAGATCCTACTGTATTTACTCCAATTTCAATTTGAACTGAAACCTACTTTATTTGTAGAAATTAGCAGGATCGAATTCAAGGAGTAATTAATTAGAGTTGATGAATAAACTTCAAAGTATGAACGAACATTGAGAAGAACAGCCAGTGCTAAAACACCGTTCGGTTCTTTGAAGGCCATCTCGAAGTTAGCGCACTGAACATTCCGATGTATGAAGTGTATTTCACCTGCATAACCGACACCACCTAGCGTATGTTCACTGCCATTCATTGGTTCTGTACTCCAGTGTATGAGTATCATCTCTAATGCATACCTTTGATCCGGTAAAAAGTTCACCATTAATTCACCGCATAAATCTGCACCCAACAGCAACTGAAGACTTTCGCCAGCATTCACCAATTTGAACTGACCACTTACTGGATATTTGAAACTAAATAGTGGTAATTTTTAGCGTTCATTTTTTGAATGGCAAGTAATGTAATTAACTAAAATTCTTGCTAATATAGCTACTGAGCATTTGTAATCGTACATGCTTATACTTACTTGAATGTGGTATCCTCAAGGCTTGCATCGAAAGCAGTCAGTGAAGCGAGAATGTCAATTGGAGATTGCTTTCGATCTGCTGTCACCTGAACATAAACAAGAATACAAAATTTTACCCCACATGGTATTAGTACAGTAAATTTATTTGTGGAATAGACTCAATCGAAGATTATTAAGATGAAAATTCTAATCAGTGAGGAATGAACGCGTTCAACAATTGAAGTATGCTGATGAAATGTGGTTTTGAATTTTGTAAAGAAGACTTTAGTCAGATAACAATTGATACATATGTGATAAGAAAGAGCAGCAAACAATATTCAAAAGTCTAAATTAATATTGTTAATAGGCTTATTAAGGATATGTTTGATGATCACTTTGTGAGACATTAGAAACGATGATGTATGCAGAGCACAGTTGATATGGTGCTGAAGGAGTGATCTGTTTTCAAGCAAACGTTGAAATGAATCAATAGAACTGCTCGGATGAGTGAAGAAATATGCTCGAACCTATTTAATATCATAAATGTGAGGAGAACAAGATCGAAACACACACCTGTAAAATCTTGCCAATGCTATCAAGTTGAGCTGAAGCTCTACTTAAAATGGGTGCAAGATTTTCACGTGCACGTGTGGCTGTTTGGAGTACAGAATTCAGTTGTGGCTTTACTGAGTTCAGTTGTGCTTGAACATTCGCGGTTAACTGTCCAAGAAATGCCATTTGCGCTGAAGTTTCAACTTTCAGTTGCCTGAATGATTGAAAAAACATCCATACAGATTACAATTGGGAACGACAGAGACGAGGGACTATCACCTTTCGCAATTTCACGATTTCCATAGCGCAACATTTGGAGAAATCTCCCTGATTACATACATATGCATATGTATAACATTATTAAGTAGATCCATAAAAGCGTACTAAAAAAGTCTGCATATGCAATATAACCCTGATTGAAATAATGTCGATGACGTAAAATGAAAAATGAGAGGCAATAAAAGTTTCGATGAAGCACTGGAACGAAAAGATTATACGCATGCACGTGAATTGAACGCACCCAAGGTTATTGAATCGAAAATACTCATTGTGACGCGATTTGAGCCACTTCAATATGATATGACTGAGTCTCATACTTTTGATTCTATACTATTGGATCTACTTCAATGTTCACTGGATTTATCAAAGAAATGAAATGCCTATCGCATAATGATCTGCTGGCTATGTTCTGCCTCATTAATCCACAAGTAAACTTTCAAACATCTCATCACAATTCACTGAAACTAATGATGCACTTTTTTTTTCGTAAAATTGATGCCGCTGTGAATTCACTATATTACTTTATCGATGGATCATAACATACATCAAAATCTGACGCATTTATCAAAGCTTTGAAATCATCCTATGAGAAAAGTAAAACTGAAAACTGAAGGATGATAGAAATAATAATATAAATTAGACAGTGATAATCAACATCGAATAGCAATAAAAAATGAACAACAATATTAGCAATAATAATATAAAATAGTTATTGTAAAAAATGCGTGCATGCCTGAAAATGAAGCAAATGAAAACTCATGTAATGGATTTCGAAGTGGATCATGAAAATGAAGTATTGCATGAAATTTGACCATTGCGATCTTGATTAGCTGCATTTCACTTATAATAATTGTAGTGAAAGAGAACGGATGAGCAGATGTTGTTATTAAAATTACTCGTTTAAAAGTGATAAGATTTATTGAAAGTGAATAGTTGATTAGCAGCTTTGTATTGTGAAATTCTAACAAAATGTAACTTTCAAGTACTTCATGAACTTGTTAGAAGACCAAAGCTGTTAGAGGAATTCGTGTCGAGAATTCGGATTCAGTTTTATGTTCGTCTCTGAGGATTAAGGTGCACAGTGGGATGACTAGAATGCAGGAACTGCTCAACACTAAGAATCACCTTGTTACTCTTGAAAAAAAAAGAATTTGGATCTGATTCAGACGCAATGATAAACGAGAAATCGATTGCTACTTATTGTGTAGATAATAGAGTATTTGATTTAGATCAGTTCCGAAATTAGGCGAAATAAATTCGAAAGTAATTAATCACATGGCTGAAAGTAGTGTTCGTTGGGGAACAGTTTTTCGGACGAGGAGGGGGGGGGGACACCGCGGAGAGAAAAGTGGATGAGGGGGGTTCTCCGTAAAAAAAAGTCGGGGACTCGGGAGCGGTCATTCCCCGACCTTTCAGCTCAATTTTTTAAAGATTTTTCTTTTTTTAAGGAGTTTTTGAAAATTCCGTTTCAGCTTTTTAAGCAGAATTTCCCCTTCCGATATGCACCTTTGGGAGTGAAATGAAATCTTTTATCAGTGATAATGCGCTCACGACTACAGCTTTAAATAACATGTTGCTACCGCTGCAACACTTCCAACATTCTCTTGTTGT